TTGAGTGGATGCACCTGAACGCACCATTGAGTGGATGCACCTGAACGCACCTTTGAGTGGAAGCACCTGAACGCACCTTTGAATGGATGCACCTGAACGCCCCTTATAGTGGATGCACCTGAACGCACCTTTGAGTGGATGCACCTGAACGCACCTTTGAGTGGATGCACCTGAACGCACCTTTGAGTGGATGCACCTGAACGCACCTTTGAGCTGCAGTAAGCACGCGGCCGGCAGCAGCTCCTGAACGTTCTCCACCGTCACCAGAACAGTCTCCGTGTACACGAAGTCCAGAAGAATCTCCATCGTAGATGCTGTCAGACCCTGGATATCAACGAAGGACTTCCCCTTCTCTGCCAGCTGCACACACACACACACACACACACACACACACACACACACACACACACACACACACACACACACACACACACACACACACACACACACACACACACACACACACAGTCAATAATAACTAGAAATTGAACTAACTTGTGCAATTGAAGACGCTGCTTTCCATTAAATCAAATAGTTATTCATATCTTACACTAATTGTATTCTCTTAGCTTTTTACATGACTGTTTTTAAATGTATTTAAATATTATTTGATGTGTTTCTGTTGCACTTTATTTGTGTGCTTTATAAATATATATATTTCAATTTTTTTCAACTTGAGCGTCAAAATCACGTGACACGTTCGGGCGTTAGCCAATCAGTGATGAGGATCTCAGCATGCCGTCACTGACGTTGAATCATAAGAGCAGCATAAGAGATGTCCCGCCTCTTATACCCTATCACGTACAATGTGTCGGAGCGATGGCCAATAGGAGCGCGAGTGTTCCATAGTGATGTCACCATGATCCGGAAGTACACAGAGGAGTTTTGGATGCTAACTCTAAGCCTCTGTGAGACATCCTTAGAGTGTTACCTCGCTGGTGAACATGGCGCAGAAGTAGTCGCTGCAGGCTGCGAGGACGATCCGGTGCGCGGGGAAGTCGGCCGTGTTCACCCTCAGCGTGATGTCACACAGCGTGTTGCTCTTCCTCAGAGCGTTCATGGCGTTCAGGATGGATTTGGCGTGAGAGTTGGTCATGATGTCTTTGGGAGCCATGTTTCCCCCGGAGGCGCCGCCCGACCTCAGGCTGCTCCAGGAACCTGAGAGAGGAGGAGGAGGAGGAGATCCGATGAGGAGAGAGTCTTCATCACTGCATCCTCTGAACATGCAGCTCTGAGTATTAAAGTTATACTAGTTTCATATTTGGGTGATTAGTCTAAATCACAACATAGTACGTTCAAATAATGACTGATATATGTAAACACAGGGTTACACAAAGACATGTAGTTCTTATTATTAGTTCACCATATGTTTGACATACTAAATGTGTCTCCTAATGTCACAAACAAGTAGAAATATAACAATATTATTTAAATTGGACCAAAAGGTACAATACTAGAGTAAAGGAACTTAGTTACTTCCCACCCCTGTATACTTCCTGATTGAAATGAAGTGCACCTTGGGTGATATTGTGCTTGCTAGTGTTTTGACTTTAATGCAGTGAATGTGTTTCTGCAGCCACTCACCGTTAAAGGATCTGAGAACTGTTTCCACCGCTGGGAGGCAATGACTGTAAGAGCTGCAGCTACACATGAGCCATCAGCAGCTACACACACTACACACTGCAAACACACACAGATCCAGCAGCTACACACACACCAACAACAACCACAGAGGATAATACCTGTGTGCAGAACAGCTGATCCAAAGCTAACTGAGCCCTGCTAGCTCTCCTGCTGTCAGTCAGAGAGAAGCTTTACACTACAGGTAATCCATGGTGACTCTGACATGTCACTCTGGAACTCCTCACACTCTCAAGTGTCTCAAATATCCGGTCACATCCCCCCAGGTTCGGCTTTAAAGCAGGTACAATGGCTCGTTTTGCAGCAGCAGCAGGGTCACTGCACTACAGACGTAAACAGAACATTACGTGACTGCGTGCGCGCTACCGCCGCCCAGACGGAGACGCGAGTGATGCAGCGTGACGTCACTTACCAGACGCAACACATGCTCCACCGGACTTGAGGGCCCCTGGACTTTGTTGTATGTAGAATGTATGATATTGAATAAAATAAATAAAATAAATAAAATAAATAAAATAAATAAAATAAATAAAATAAAATGCTCCGCTCTCCAGTCCAGCAGGGGGCGGTAATGCACTCTTTTCATTGGTCCCAACAGCTAATAAACGTCAGAGAATAATACGTTGTAGTTCCCCCGTTTGGCCACTAAACGGAAATCTGCTTCACCGTTGGCGCACTTCCTTCCTGGAGGTTTTAGAGGAGGAGCAGCGGCTGTTTCCGGTTACACGAGAGAGAGAAACACGGTAAGAATCTGAGAAAACTGTTTAAAAAGAACCGTAAAAAAGAACCGGGGAGCTACGGTTCTCCTGAGTCCGGGGGGAGAGGCTGTGGAGACGGACTGACATGGAGGCAGAGTGCCGGGAGATCGATGAGACCGGGAGCTGGAGCGCCGTTTATCAGGTGAGTCTCTGCGGGGAGAAGAGGCACTTTCTGCGGGGCGAATAGGGGAAAACAGGCCGGTAGTGGAGCTCCTTATCCGGGGAGAAGAGGGGGAAACAGGCCGGTAGAAAGGCTCCTTCTGCGGGGAGAAGAGGCACTTTCTCCGGGGAGAAGAGGGGGAAATAGGCCGGTAGTGGAGCTCCTTCTGCGGGGAGAAGAGGCTCCTTCTGCGGGGCAAATCGGGGAAAACAGCCCGGTAGAGAGACTACTTATACGGGGAGAAGAGGGGGAAACAGGCCGGTAGAGAGTCTCCTTCTACGGGGAGAAGAGGGGGAAACAGGCCGGTAGAGAGGCTCCTTCTGCGGGGAGAAGAGGGGGAAACAGGCCGGTAGAGAGACTACTTATCCGGGGAGAAGAAGAGGAAACAAGCCGGTAGTGGAGCACTTTCTCCGGGGAGAAGAGGGGGAAACAGGCCGGTAGTGGAGCACTTTCTCCAGGGGGAAGAGAGGGAAACAGGCCGTTAGTGGTGCACTTTCTC